TGATGAACAAATATTGGCAGAGGGAACCCCCTGTCAATATTGAAACTGTTTTTGTCCACGCGTTTTATCCACAAACCCTAACCTATATTACGAGTAACCTTTTCTATCCGCAATAACCTCAAAACCTCATTCTTTTGTACAGTTTTTAACACACTAATCAGTTATTAGTTTTTTATACACGATATCCGCGAAACTTTTCTTATCTTGAGAGAATTGGCGATAAAACAATGCCGAAAGAGAAAAAAACAAACAAATACGTACAAAAGTACGTGAAGAGTTGGGAAAAAGATCCAGCTTGCGTTGGTAAGTAAATAACACCGATCTGACAAATTCCTCAGGAAAACGAATGTGTCAAATCTAAAATCCTAAAATTCGAGTTCAAGGATGAAGTACGAGCCTCGAATATATCATGCCAACGATTTTTTGAATGTATTGGTACATTTTTTCCCGATCATTTTTTTTTTTTCGAAACTAGGGTGGCTGCAGCCAATTGTTGGCGACGAAACAAAAGCTTTCTGCTCGCATTGTAAGGTCACTTTAGTCGCACACAAGAAGAGTTTGCAGGAACATGCCACATCGAAGAAACACCTGCAGTCTGCCAACAAGGAACGTGAGATTGTCAATTTACCAAAAATTGATCGATTCGCAAAAGTGACTCTCACAGAGAAACGAAAAATTGCCGAGCTCAAAATCGCGACGTACGTGGCGGAGCATTGTTCGATAAAAAGCGTCGATCATCTGTCGATGGTGATTAAAGGTCTCGACGAAGACTCGACAGTTTTGCAGGACATTAAGCTTCACCGCACCAAGAGCTCAGCTTTGGTAAAAAACATTCTGTCGCCATGCATTTTGCAAGAGCTACTCGAAGACTTTTGCGACAGTCACTTTTCGCTTATTATTGACGAATCGACGACAGTGGATACCAAAAAGGTTCTCTGTATTATGATCCGGTATTTCAGCAAAACGAAAAAAAAAATCGTAACAACGTTTTATAGATTAATTGAGATGGAAGCCGGAACATCGGATGCTATTTCACACGCAGTGCTGAATCAATTAAAGATCGATGGCCTTCAGCCAACAAAGTTAATCGGTCTTGGAGTCGACGGTGCAAGCGTAAATGTCGGAAGACACCATTCGGTGTCAACGTTATTACGCGAGGTAAACCCAGAGCTCATTATAATAACATGCATTTGTCACTCACTGCATCTCGCCGCGGAACAAGCCTGCAAGACGTTGCCAAGGCATATGGATTTTTTGGTACCGGAAACCCACCTTTGGTTCACCCATAGTACCAAAAGACAAATTGCATATGCAAAAATTTATCAAACGCTTTCAGATAAATTGCCAAAAAAAATTGTTAAAATGTCCGATACGCGTTGGTTAGTTCGACTTCAGGCTGTTGAAACAATATTGGAGCAATGGGATGCGTTGAAACTTCATTTCCAAATCACTGAAAGTTACGACGAGCGCTGTTATATAGCGTCTCAATTGCACGCAATGTACGCCACACCCGAAAACAAGCTATTTCTAACATTTCTCGCCAATAGCCTGAAAGGTGTTGTAGGACTGAATAAGTTGTTTCAGTCTCAGAACGTTGATCCCGTCAAACTTTTCGAAGACCTTAACAATCTGATGTACAGTCACCTGCAAACCATCGTTGTACCATCTCAACTTCAGAAAGTATCGCGCTATGAACTCGGGACCTTTGATTTTCTTCAACACTTAATGAGCTTGCAATGTGTAAATTTCGGATACGATTTCAACAGTCTTGCTTCGAGCATCAAGCCTGAAACGCTGGTCAATATTAAAGAAAGATGCAGGAATTTTTTAATCACATTGTGCCAACAATTGCAAAAAAGATTGCCCGAGAGTATAAAAATTCTCGAAAAACTGTCGACTTTTTCGCCGAACGTAGCTTCATCTCAAGTTAAAGTCGATATCACTGAGATAGCAACCAAGCTTAAAGCCAGTGTGTGCACTGACATCGACAGTACTGTGAAGGAATGGAATCTTCTTCACACTGCCAAAGTTTTGAACCTCCAAAATACCGAAGATTATTGGGCCGAGATTTTCGATATTAAAAATGCTGGCGGACAAAAACGGTTCGGTAATATTGCGCAGCTCGTACTTGCTCTGTTGTGCTTACCGTTTTCGAACGCTTCGGTCGAACGAGCTTTTTCAATATTAAATATTGTTAAAGACAAACTGCGCAACAGAATGTCAATTGCAATGGTAGAGGCAATAATGCACGTCCGACTCACGCTTGGAGTCGATTGCCGCGATTTCAAGCCTACGGTTCTCATGCTCAAACGTTTCACTTCTGAAAATGTTTATAACAACATCAATGATAGTGACCTCGAAGTCCTTAATATTTTCCCCAGTGATGAATTTTGATACGAATCAGTATCTTCATCGCAAACAGTCATTAAAAGTCGAGAGCATCCATGACTAATTGATATTCTTCTCTATGTATTTTTTTTCCACTTATGATACGAATATATGTGATAATTTCTATAAAAATGTTATTTTGAAAAAATAAAACTAATATTCTCCGTTAAATATATTTTTAATTCATTTTATTTTACTCGTTATTATGTATAATTCTATTTCAAGGCGTATGTTTCGGGATTTAGAATTATATATTTTCGTGATTTGAATTTCGTGCTTCAGAAAGTAGGCGAGCAGGCGAGTAGGGGCATTCAGGGGATTTTTGGGGGGAAACTGAGCGACGCTAGGGGGAAGGCACGGAGACCGTCTGGCAACACTGCACGATAGCCAAGGAACCTCGACTTCACGGGATATTGACGCAGCATCATTGCGATCTCAGCCCTTTTCTAGAAATCCTTCACCTTCGCCACCACCAGCAGATGTTTCCCCAAGACAAGCGCCGGATTTAACTCCAACAACGCAGTCTTCTACAATTTCTTCCTCGTTACCACCTTCTCGAAGTCCACAATTATCTCGACGCAAGAAAAATGAAGATGCCGAAACGAAAGACCTAGACAAAATACTTCACTATCTTAATAATAGAAAAAAAGATAATGCCACAAAAGAACAAGATGGCATAGATCATTTATTTCGAAGTTATGCAGAAACATTTAAAAAATTATCCCCAATAGTAAAAGCTGAACTAAAGGTTGACCTAGCAAAACTATTTGCAGAAGCAGAATTGAAGCAGGTACTGAATACCACCCATTCATCCACTACCGCCCACAGTTATTCTGTTATGGATATGGAATCACCGATCAACATGAGACTCATACACCCAAGTTCGCAAGTACATTACGTTACTTCCCCATCATATTCAGCTATTAGTACAGACTCCACAACCGAACCATTGTGCCTCACCACAACCACAACACAGCAAGTAATTGACATACCAGATATCACGGAAAATGTGATCTTACCAGAAGATGTAGTAGTGATCTTACCACAAACACATCAAGATCTTGACACATAAAGTTTTACATTTATTATTTTATTTTGGTTCTAGTTTATAATTATGTTGATTTTGTTGTTTGAGTTGAAACCCATGAATATAAATAATTGTCACTACACTTAAAAGACTGATTTGCCATTACATAGGGTGATTTTTTATTAGTGACCGATACTTAAACACGTGATTGTATTCATGAATATGAACAACTTTTACTATGGGAACAACCCTGAAATCGCCAAAGAAAAATCAGCTGTTTCATACATTTTGCTTCAGTAGGTATTGAACTTTTATATGGAACAGCTTTTTATTTTTCGCGAATTCAGAGTTGGTCCCATAGTAAAAGTTAGTCATAGTCATGAGTACAATCATGTGTTTAAGTATCGGTCACTAATAACAAATCGCCCTATATGTGATTTAGAATTAACCAGGACCGTTTAATCTCTATGAAAGACGTTGATTTGTGAATTATTTTATTAGGTTTTATTACTTAAGTAATTTACAGAGATCTGTGATTTGTTACTATCTTCTCTATTTGAGATAGGAGTACACAGGGTCATATTACCATGTTTGATTTTAGGTTCTAGAGTTTATAATAATGTTGATTTTGTTGTTTGAGTTGAAACTCATGAATATGAATAATTTTCGCTATGGGGCCAACTCTGGTGAAAAAATACAGTGGCACGGGCGCAAGCCTAGTAGATAGTTCATATTCATTCATGCAACTCTCTCATGGTAACCTGCACTTGAAGACTGATTTGCAATTATCTGTGATTTAGAATTAACCAGGACTGTTTAATCTCTATGAAAGACGTTGATTTGTGAATTATTATATTAAGTATTATTACTTAAGTAATTTAGAGAGATCTATGATTTGTTAGTATTTCCTCTATTTGAGATAGGAGTACACAGGGTATATTACCATGTTTGACTTTAAATATGACCTTCCATCATTAAATTTTTATTACTTAGGTAAAAAGTTCAAACACTGATTACAAAGACTACTTAAATTATTAGAAATGTAAACAAAAAACTTGAAAATAGCTATACTAGTATAGTTATACAAAATTTACAAAGATAAAAGGTTGTGAAAACGCTTGTTAAATAAATAACTACTTACCTTAAGCAAATGGCAAGTCTTTCTCTTGGGCCTATAGCCCGTCTCCAGTTAGTGTCAAGTTTCTCTATTTTTGGCTTCAATATATTATAAAGTTCTTCGAAGCTACTCCGTGACATTCGAAAGTAAGTGTAGAATCTGTCTTCGTGGGACTCCAGCTCTCTACATAACCGGTGGTATTCTCCGTGCTCTTCTCTTCTAGTGTTTATTTCATGTACCCATTTTCTTTTTCTCTGGTTTCTTGATGCAGCAATCAAAAGAAGTAGCTCTTCGACGTCTGATTCGCTCGACATTTTAAGAAAAAGTGACGCTTTCCTGGTTGGCGCGACGCGATGCTGGCGGGGCGCTGGCGCGGCGTTGGCGCAGCGTGGCGTGTTGCCTGGTGTGACTATCGCGCCGCGCTCACGACCCGCCCGCCTCGCGTCGCGCCAGCGTCACGCTACCGCCGCGCTCGCTGTTTGACAAAGCCTTAAGAGAAAATCGTCTGTCCAAATGTCCACTCCCGTCAAATAAAGAAATGAAGAAATTAGATCGTGGAGCCTATAAGCACATGTCTACTAGAACTGAACAAATTTTAATTTACAAATGGAATGACAACAGTGTAGTATCTGTTTCATCGAATTCCGCAAAAGTGCAACCTACAGGAAAAATAAAAAGATTTTCGCAACAACAAAAAAAGTACATATATGTTGATCAACCAGCTCTTATAAAGACCTACAATGAGAACATGGGAGGAGTAGACAGGTGCGATCAAAATATAGGATTGTAAACGAAAGAAATAAAACGGAAAAATAATATAAATAAAAACCAGCTCTGCAGTGACATGAATTGATAGAATGACATTTATTTTCTTTTTAAAAATATATTAACATCAACGAGTAATTGATAGTATACTTTGACCTCCTTTGTCGGTAACACAGCACCCCCCGTGTGGCAACACTGCTATCAGTACCGACAAAGAAGGACCAAGTTCAACAATATTAAAATAAAAATTAAATGAATGAACTAATTACAATGGGAATGGTAAAATTACATGACCGGCAGACGAACAATTTTTCTAACTGGTCTTTTGAAAACCCCAGCTTTTGTGGACACTTCCACTACGCGCACTGTACCATCTGGCCCAGGGTGTAGTGCAGTAATTCGACCTATTGGCCAAAGGCCCCTCGGTAAGGTCTCGTCTACGATAAGGACTACGTCTCCATTTTGAAGGGGTACTTGCGGGGAATTTGTATGTGGTTGACGTCTAGGAATTATTGTGGGCAAATATTCTTTAACCCATCGGTTCCAAAAGTGGTCGGCTAAACGAATTGCCTTTCTCCACTCTGTTCTGCCAGATAAGTCACTATCGGAAAGGTCTGCAGTATTAGGTAATTTTTGCGTCGAGGGAGTGCCTAGTAAAAAGTGAAATGGCGTTAATGCAATTGGTTCATCTAGATCCATGGGAACATGCACGAGTGGTCGGGAGTTGATAATGGCCTCAACTTCTGCGAAAATAGTCTGCAGCGTTTCTTCTTTCGGGGCTCTCTGCTTTAATGTTACGCTCAGCGCTGTTTTGACACTGCGAACCATTCGCTCCCAGCAGCCACCCATGAAAGAAGAAGCGGGTGGAATAAACTCCCATGTGATGCGGTTGTTTGCTGCAAATTGTTCAATTTCGGAGCAAAAGAAGCTTTTCAATTTTTTGTTTGCCCCGACGAAACATGTGCCGTTGTCACTGAGAATTTTAGAAGGACAACCCCGTCGAGCGATGAAGCGCCTCAAAGATAAAATTGCAGAGTCCGCGGAAAGTGATGCCACAATTTCTAGGTGTAGGGCACGGGACGTCATGCATGTGTAGATTGCACCATACCTTTTTTCACGTCGCCGACCAATCGCCACTTCTAATGGGCCAAAGTAGTCCAGTCCAACAAACATAAATGGTCGGCTGTGGTGCGCCAAACGTACAGCGGGCAAATTTCCCAGTCTTGGAATCTCGCTTTTGGCTTTTTTGTTTCTGCAGTATTGACACAGCGATGACATCTTGCGGACCACGCCACGACATTTTAAAATCCAAAATCGCTCCCGAAGCATGTTGACGACGGTTTCACTATTACCATGAGCTGCCTTTATATGAAAATAGTTCACTAGCAGCTGAGTGATGTGGTGCTTTCCATCTAGCAGAATCGGGTTATTACTTAATTGATCCGCCTTTTCTACTAAACCTATTCTTCCGTCAAGTTTCAGCAAACCATCTTGGTAAATTATAGATAAGCGATACAATTTACTATGCTTAGGAATAGGTTTGGACATCAAAAGACAAGAGATTTCTTCTTCGAACGATTCCACTTGCGAACGTCGGAGAAGCATATCCTCAGATTTAATGATATGAGATGCTAATAATGGGGGATGAAGATGAACGGGGGGAGATTGGACACGACGAAGTAATTTATGTTTTTTATTACACAATAAGGACCGGAAAATGTCACAGGCCTGAAATACGGTTGCAGTCGATCGAACAAGCCGTAACCAGGAGCTGTGTCTGGATGGATCCGTAGTAACCGATAGAGGCTCTAAATGCGATGTAGCACCGATAAAAAGAACGGTATCTTTGTAGTTCGATCTAACCTCTTCAAATGTCTTAACATTAATATGAGGCTCTGATGGCCACTCGCTTGGGTTGAGCAAAAGAAAGGGCGGGCCACTTAGCCACTGCTCTAGGGAATTACCAGAACGAGTAGCAGCATCAGCGACGTTTAGACTACCTGGAACGTATCTCCAACTTGAGATTTCGGTTAACTCAGAAATCTCAGCTACTCTGTGCATAACGAAGGGTTTGAATATACGACTGTCATTTCTAAGCCAACTAAGAACCGTAGTAGAATCGGTCCAGAAAAATATGCGATTTGGTTTATTTCTGTGAGCCTCACAAATGGTTTTTGCAAACCGGGAAGCAATTAACGCACCTTGCAACTCTAAACGTGGTATAGTCACGGGCTTGACGGGAGCAACACGAGCTTTGCCGCCTACTAGTGAAAGTTTAACACGACCATCATCATAAATAAAACGCCAATAGGCTACGCAAGCGTAAGCTAATTCGCTGGCGTCACAAAGAACGTGTAGCTCCCGTTCGATGATACTATCATTACCATCACTATACCAACGTGGCACCTTAATTTTTTGAACATCTGTCAACTTGGAAATCCAGGAAATCCACTCGATAGAATGGCTTGAGCTAAGTTCATCGTCCCAATCTATATTGGATTTCCATGTTGACTGAAACAATATTCTTCCTTCAATAGTGTACGGAAGTAAAAAACCTAGTGGGTCGTATACCTTCATCAAGTAAGATAGTACTTTTCTTTTTGTTAGACATGGTTCAATCTCTACTGTCGAATATTTAAAACAAAGTTTGTCACTTTGCGGATGCCAGATTAAGCCTAAGGTCCGAACAAAGGGTTCTGGCCCTAGACCGACATCTGAAATCTGTGGAGCACCATGTAAGTCTTCACTAATGGTCGATAACACAGAAGGGTGGTTGGATACCCAGCCTCGCATTTCGAAACCTGCAGCTTTGTGGATATGAACGATGTCTGCAACGAGCTGCGAGGCTTCTTCCTCGGAATCCACGCTTCCAATGTAATCGTCCATATAATGATCTTTGATGATCTTTTCTACGGCCGATGGAAACTTATCGTGGAACTCTAAAGCGTTTCTGTTTTTAATGTAGAGTGCGGTGCATGGACTACAAGCTGCCCCAAAAATAACAGATGTCATCCTATATTCTATGATTGGAGATTTGGGGTTATCACGCCACAAAAAACGAAGAGCATCGCGGTCCTGCTCCCTGATCCTCACTTGAGGGAACATCTCCCTTATGTCGGCGTTCATAGCTACGCGGCCTTCCCTAAATCGACATAAAATGTCTAATAATGATTGTAATAGGTCGGGACCAGTGAGCAAAAGCGAGTTTAAATTTACTCCCAGACTTTTCGCGGCAGCGTCATGTACGACACGTAATTTCTTCTTTTGTGGGTGTACGACACCGAAATGAGGCAAATACCAATAAATTTTGTTGTCGTTTGGACAGGAAGGTTGTTTTCTAGAGTCATAAGTGTCGAGACATTGCTCGGAATAACCTTTGTCGAGCATTCCCTGAATAAAACTTTTGTACCCAGACATAAACTGAGGATCTTTCTGCATACGTCTCTCTAAAGAAAGAAACCTCGAGAGGGCGTGTGGATAACTATCTGGGACGTTTACTATGTTATCTCGCCATAATAATCCTACTTCAAATCTACCAGAAGGTAAACGCTTCGAAGTTGAGTTTAAAATTACTAAAGCACGCTCATTTAGCTTATTATCTTTGACATCACCCTTAGAAATTCCGATACTGTCAAGTTTAAAATAATCATTGATTAGAATGTCTAAGGGTGTGTCCACACTGTCAAAATGTTGGACGGTTGCGTGATTAATAAAATGTACTGGACGGGTCCAGCTATTCGACTGCCCATGTAGAGTCCATCCTAGAAGAGTGCGTGTAGCAACCGGCTGAGATTTGGAGCCCTCACGCACTTCCCTGGGAATAGTTAAATGCCAATTATCAGCTCCAAGTAGAATTTTCGGAGTAGCATGGTCTAAAATTAAACTTTCTGCTAAGTCCGACAGGTGTGGATATTTGGTTATGTAATCTCTGTTGATATTTTGTGTAAAAAGGGATAAAGATTTTACAGTTTTGGCATTTCGAACATCATAGATTATATTTTCTTTAGCCCCTTTAATAGCGAAATTTACAAGCTGTACTTCGGTGGCGATCGTCATTCCACTAACGCCCTCTAGACGCAACTGACGCATTGGACCCACTGCCCCAATAGTTTGCGCTAAATCAGAATCAACAAGGGTGGCTGTGGATCCATCGTCAAGGAGCACGTAAGTGTTGACGCTTGCCAAAGGACCGGACACTGTTACTGGGACGATACGTAGATAGACACTTTGTAAGCAAGAGTAGGAGTGGTCGTATTCGTTATCGTGACTTTTTCATCAATGGTATTGTCGGATGGTGTAATATTCTGGTCGGATGATTTTGAAGGAACCGTAAAATTTTTGGATGGTGGAGGCTCACACCCATGCAACAACGGATGATGAAAACGAAGGCAGCCGTCAACACCACACCGCTTCGCTTTGCACGTTTTCCATCGGTGTGAACCTCCCCTAAGGCACCGATAACAAAATTTCACCTCATACAACCATGACCATCTTTGTTCTGGGGTAAGTTTTTGAAATTTAGTGCATTTTTTTATAGTATGATTCTGGTTACAAAAAGCACAATTTTCATTTGTACTTTTGATAACAGGTGAATTTGTCGATATTATGTTAACACTTTCACGACGAGTAAAGGAAGAATTTACGAACATTTGCTCAGTAATGCCAAATTTATTGTACTTGTGTGTCTCTAGACTTAAAAAATCGGATAACATAACAAATTTTGGTTTTCCTAGTGAAACATTGGTAAAGGCAAAATCAAGCCATTTATTCCGCAAAAGGGGAGTTAATTTACTTAAGACACTATGCGTAAGCTCTGGAGAGTACAAATATTCGCTTTGGTTTAAAAGATTTAGCACTGAAATGCAATTTTTTAATTTACAGCTAAAGTTGTTAATGTCTCTAAGATCATGTGAGAGTCTAGGTAAACCACGTACCTCCGCAACCTCACGCATGACGATTGCCTCCGGGCGTTCGAAAGTTTGCTCCAGTATACTCATCACTTCGTTGGGGTCGTCGGTGGTCAATAATAACGTGGCTACACAATCACGTGCTTTACCTTGGAGCACATGACGTAGGCGGTTCAGGTTTTCTAAATTGGAAAAATAATCTTTAGAGAAATTGTAATTCTTTTTGAAAATTAGCCATTCTAAATGACCGCCACTAAAAGGAGTCAAGTTCTCTATTTTCTTTGAACTCGCGGCGGATGTAATCGCTTTGGCTAATTTGTTTATATCTGAACACTGATGTTTACATTCGTTTGTGACAATGGATGCCTCAGATGGACATTTTTCCTGCACAAGACCGCCTGGTTTGCCTAATAAAAGTTTATTGGATTGTACCTGGTCGGCTACCCAAGCCTCTGTCCGAGACGTAGACTTTACATTATGAGACTTGAGGCTGGCACCGACTTCCAAGCTTGCTAATTCGGCCGCAAGCTCCAATTCCTCAATGCGCCGTCGCTCGTTTTCCAACTGCACCTGGCGTTCGAACTGTTGCCGTGCGAATTTAGCCTCGGCCGTCGCCCGAAGGGCTCGAACTGTAGCCGACGACGACCTGGAAGCAACGCTGTGAGAAAAAGATTCTACTGGCTGCTGAGAGTTCGGGTTTATAGAACATGGTGCTAGGTTGGGCGCAGCGGCTGCTTCGACGGAAATGTGGCACGAAGCCTGGTCGTGAGCTTCCGCGTTGGGCGCACTAACACCTAAACCAGAATTTTCAGTAGCGAGTGCCTCCGCATGAGCTGATTTCGCCCTGGTAATCATTATTTCCAGCGAGAAGGACCAATTTTGTAAACGAAAGAAATAAAACGGAAAAATAATATAAATAAAAACCAGCTCTGCAGTGACATGAATTGATAGAATGACATTTATTTTCTTTTAAAAAATATATTAACATCAACGAGTAATTGATAGTATACTTTGACCTCCTTTGTCGGTAACAATAGGATTATATAGAATTTCTATACGCGGAAAAAAATGGTATTTTTCGCTCATTTCCCATTGCTTAGATATGACTGCTCACAACGCTTGGCAGTTGTATAGAAAAAATGGTGGCGAATACGACCATCTGCAGTTTAGAAGGAGCATTGCGACAGGTATACTTGAATAATACAAAAAAAAATTTGGCCGCACTTCTCAGAATTTTAGAGAAATTTCGAGGTATGATGACATAGGTCACATAATAAAATATAGGGATAACCAATTAAGATGTGCTATATGTCACAAAAAAGCTAATTTTTTCTGCAAAAAGTGTGAAGTTACTAACTAAAATAATTTAGAAAAACATAAAGAGCATACATTAGAAAATGAACGGAATCGGCCTAATGTAGAGTCTGAAAAAGAAAATAACACAGAAAGTCAAAATAGTAAAGACGCTCAAAGTGACTCAGTTGATATTAATGATTCCGAACAAGTTGAAAAGCGGGTAGAAAAAAGGAAAAGAAATAGGACTCCGGACAGTATTTTAAAAGCACAAAGAAATAAACATCTACATGTTAGCTACATGTTCATGCAAAAAAAAAATGTATTGAAAAGATTATGGAAGAAAAAAGGAAAGATATCTGGAATCAGTCCTGGAGCCTTGATCGTCAACGTCGTCGAGATTTTCTGTCCAGGAACGTGGAAAAAAAACCTACCCTTCAAGTGTGTAGAAATGGAAGTCGAAGACATAATACCCTATTATGGATGATGGAAAATGTCAAAGTTTGTAAGAATTTTTTTTTAGAAACTTTAGGCTACAAAGATTATGAAGTCGTACGGTCAGTATTGTCCAGCAATCACTTGACTAATAACAAACACCCAAAAGTAAGTGCTGCTCCAGATATGAGAGGTAGGAAAAAACCAGCAAATTCATTCCCTCCTGATTATGAATCTGCAATTACGGACTTTATCATGAAATACAAACCAGTTCAGTCACATTATAATTTGCAACACGCTCCAAACAGGATGTATTTACCCCCTGGTGTAAATTTTACTTTAATTTTTAATCAATTTAAAGAACACTGTACTGAAAAGGGACTGAAGGTTTGCAGCTGGACTCACTTTCATTCAAAAATAAAATCCCTTAATTTGTCAACTGCTGAAATGCCCCAAGACATCTGTATCAAATGTAGGCACAATGAAATGGATCACAAAAATCGCCCATTACCTTGCAATTTAGCCAATCATTTGTCAAATAAGCGAAACAGCAGAAAAGACTTGAAGACAGTAGAAGAAAAATGTAAAAATTCCAATGGGAATGAATTCGTTTATACGGTCGACATGCAAAAAGTTATTTGTATGCCTCTGCTTAATTCCAAAGATTATTTCTTTTCAAGGAAGCTCATACTTTTTAATGAGTCTTTTGTTCCACCGGGAAAAGACAAGGACGCTGCTTGTGTCATCTGGCATGAGGGAGAGAGTGGTAGAAAGGTTTATAACATAGCCAGTACTTATGTCTACGTCCTTAGAAAATAAAACAGGGACAACAAAAATGTGTACTTCTTTCTCGACAATTGCAATGCACAGAATAAAAACAAAACACTTATGTCAGCTTTGGTAAGAGCAGTTAATGATAATAAGACTGAAATAGAGAAATTAACCCTTGAATATTTCGAAGTAGGACATACTTACATGGCTGCAGATGCAGTTCATGCTGCTATTGCTAAGAAATTAACTTCCGCTAGGGAGCTTCATGATCTTAATGATTTTGTGGCGACCATAAAATCTTCTAGGAAAAACCTACAAGTTGAGTTAGTCACACATAAAGATATGATATGTTTTGATAATGATTCCAAAGCCACATATCCCAAAGGATATAATTTGTACAAATTAAAAATAATCGAATTCATCCGAGGAAAATTATCTTTGTGTAATTTATGAAGTAGTTACCGAAGAAGATTCAAGTCAAATAATAGGAAATACACTAACACAGCAACCAGCTAGCATTGGGACCCATTACTACGGCATATCGAGAATATTTATGAGGTGCAAAAAGCTATCATGGACAACCAAGAAAAAATTATGAAAAAATTATCAGAATTCTTTGTACTGTTGGAAGTATCACTACGTAATCGAGAGCCATTCGTTACTACGTTGAGTCAATCTCAAGGTATGCAAACAAAACGATTTAAGGCCTGCAACAACTAGATACAGAGCTTTCGACCCCGGAGGTATTTGATAGCCTCCAAGAAAAGTATTCAATCTTATATTCAGTACGAGGCAATGGTATCAACTGTGCCTACAGACTTCTCGATGCTTTGTTTACAAAGGAGTTCTTGTGCAAATGTTCCTGGACAGGAGGAAGTCGTAAAGCTGATGTGAAAATAGGATTTAAGGGGTATAAAAACATAATCATTTTTTTTTGCCATGATTAATAATTGGGTCAATACTTACACAATGGAAAATAACGAAGATTTTTTTAAAACGGTATTCAGAAATGCTTTAAAAAGAAAAGACTCCAAAAATGTTCGCTTATCAGCACCCAAGAAAAGGTTAAGGAAGAATACTTGTAACAAAAATTTAAACGGAAATGAAAATAATGGTAACGAAGACAATGAAAATGAATCTAAGAATGACTTAGAAATGACTAATTACGAAAATAAATCTGACTCTGATAACAACAATGAACATGGTCCTGAAGTCAATGTTTTGGAAAATTCGAAACCGCAAAATCAGAGTGGTGTAAACCGTCGGGCTCGGAAAGAAGAGGAGGAGGTTGAAGAATCTCTTTGTTAGATTAAGTGTTTTATATTGTTTTGTCAGTTGGTATGTTGAATCAGCGAAAGAATATGATTGTGTACCCTATGTGTCTGTTTGTATGGGGCCGTCCATATATTACGTCATTCTAAATTAGGGGGTTGGTCTGCGGATGACGGTAAATGATAGATAGGGGGCGGAAGTGTTTCGAAATTGACGTCATTCTTATTTATTTATTTATAGTTTATTGTTCACGTACAAAAAGATTATTTCTTAAAAGAAATTTCTTCCAGCACACCTAGTAAGTGAGACTGCAAATGTGAGAGGCGGCTAAGGCGCGTACAATACTAAAATAACTCGTAATAAACATACATAATGCAACATAGATGTACACAAATACAGTAATAACTACAGATAAAATCTCTAACAATAATATTACATATAATACTAGCTGCCCGCCCCGGCTTCGCCCGTGGTACTTACATGTATTATACATATAAAGCTTCCTTAAGAATCACTTTATCTATTAAAAAAACCGCATCAAAATCCGTTGCGTAGTTTTGAAGATCTAAGCATTCAGGAGGCGAAGAAATCAATAAAAAAGGAATCTATGAATTAAGAGAAACTAAAAAATAACCAAAAAGCATAAAAAATATAGGAAAAAGAAAAAAGAAGCTTTTCAAGCTTTGGTAGCTACAAATCCTGGAGCAGAATCGATAATAACTATACACGAGTATCCCGGTCGCCCACGGCTGGAAAATGAAGACAATTTAATAAAAACTATTACCGAAAGCGCCATGTATGGAAGTTCAGTGGATAGAAACGTAGAAGCGAGATTATTCGTTCTTGTCGCACGTTGGATGACCTACACAAAAAACTAACTGATGTAGGTTTTGAGATTTCCCGCTCAGCTACATATATAAGACTCATACCCCGCAAATCCAGATCATTGGAGGGCAAAAGACATGTTAAAACAGCTCCAGTGCGTTTGATTCGAGCTCAAGAAGATTATCATAAGTCTCACCCAGATACTGTGTTCTGCGTCGTTTCCATCCGAAGACTGGAATGTCTTGCATCTCTGCTTGGAGATGATTCAGCTTTTATATCTCAGGACGACAAAGCAAGGGTACCAATCGGCCTAACTGCTGCTAACAAGCAAGCACCTTTCATGATGCATATGGACTTCGTTGTCGGACCCGGACACAAGTTGATCCCAAGTGTCTATGCCGGATGCCGGGTTAATGAAACAAAGCCGATTGGCCAGCCTGACGGAGTGTCCTATAGCGGCCCAACATACATAGCAATTAATAGTGGAAAACACTCGTCTTCAACTGCAGCAACACACGCCCAAGACTTCGAGAGATTATTGACTCTTGACAACTTTAAGAGTATTTTGAAAACACCCTCGGGTGTGGTGAAGCCAGTGCTGATTTTCACTTTTGACGGAGGTCCTGACGAAAATCCCCGTTACCAAAAAGTCATTGCCTACGCTGTGCGACATTTTTTGGACCACAATTTGGACTATATTGCAATAGCATGCAATGCACCTGGACGCAGTGCGTTTAACCGTGTTGAAAGGAGAATGGCACCACTCAGTCACCAGCTTGCAGGAATAATAATACCACACGATAAATTTGGTAGTCATCTCGATACCCAGCGGCGCACTACAGACGTCGATTTAGAGAAAAAGAATTTTAAATGTGCTGGGGAAACGCTTGCTAGCGTTTGGAACGAGATGGTCATAGACGGGGAAAGCGTAGTGGCAGAGTATATCTGTCCAGATAAACCAGATCCGGAGATTGGCAGCCATCCTGGACCTGAATGGTACACTAAGCACGTTATGGAGTCTCAATATATGTTACAGATTTCCAAATGCTCAGATCTGGCTTGCTGCACAATGTCACGTAGCAAATTACGCAAGATCCTCCCTGATGGATTTATGCCGCCACCCCTGCTGCTTACATCAAATCTGGAAGCAGCGCCTTTCAGTTAGCACTGAAAGTGGAAGTACCTCTTGGACATTTTAAGAAACTTCCATATGACTTCTACTGTCCTACGTTACAAGGCGAGCTAATAGAAAGATGCTGTTCGAAATGTGGTACTTACTTTGCTTCAAAAACCTCCATGAAGGAGCACAAAAAGAACATGAAAGATTATGTACACGGTTCCCCGGATCAGGTATTGTTTTACATAGGTATAAAAAAGTATTTTTAGCGATAAAGTGCTTATAGTCTTTTTTTTGTTTCCGTGTTTAATGGAACAGGAAACTGGAGGTCCTGCGGCCCCTCGTCGTAGTGCTCGAATCTTGGGACGGCGAGGAATAGAAGTCCTTCAACAGTTGCATGACGGCGTAACGGGACAGGCACTCGACGTTGAGTGGGTTGAAGACGTGGATGAATCGAGCCAAAACGAATATCGGGAGGATACGGAGATATTACCCGTGATCCAGAATTTAAAAGAATGGGTGAAAACTCCGTGGAAGTTATCCAAAGAAAATTAAAAAATAGGGAATAATAATATATAATATTATTATTCCCTATTTTTTACTTTTATATTATATTATATCAATGATTATTGCCAAAGTAAAAATAATAAAAGGTGATTCTATAACCAAGTGTTTTAATAAAATAAATAAATAAATAAATATTTCCAACACTCACACCAATTAGCCTAGCCCCAAAGTAAGCACTGTAAGGCTTGTGTAACGGATAGAATACTTATACGGTACATATATAAGTATATTTATATAGAAATACATATTAAACATCCATGACTGGAGTACAAATGCTCATATTCATCACACAAACATCTGCCCCCACCGGGATTCGAACCCGGGACCTCCTGAGTCGGCGACACCATGAAACCCGGCGTACAAACCACTCGACCACGGAGGTCGTCCTTTTTAATCATATAATACCCTATTTTTCTCAAATCTGCAATGTTTTAATTTTGTCAAACTGGTAATGACGTCAATTTTGGGAGAAGAAGGGGGGGGGGGGGTCATGAAGAAATGACGATAGGATGATTGTAGGGCAGGGGGGGGGGGGGGGTTCTAAAATCTGAAAAAATCGATGACGTAATTTATGGACAGCCCCTATGTTACTGTGCATGTACAAACAAGATTCGTAATTGATCAAAATTATGTCGTAGGTACGTGCGACATCAAAATTATTTCTTTGTTACTTCTTTAATTTTGCTATGCTAGTCACCCTCAGAAAGTATTAGCATTATTGATTTGATTGTAGTTTATTTTAAATATTGGTATATTACACATTTGTTGATTTTCAATTCTGTTGGCTATCCCAGCAGCGTTTGGTGGGTGTGCGCCTTATTTACGCATGTACCTAATATCGACAAAACGAACACCTTAAAGTTGATTTTTCTTTACACTGATTTATTGAAGAAACCCTGTACCTATAGTCCAGTGTGACCATATGGGGCAGGATCCTGCCTTTTCGGCAGGTTTAGCCCTTTACTTTCCTCTCTGGCATATTTGTTTGACGTTTTAGAAATCTGGCAGTATTTGGCAGTTTATCACCTTGGACGCCATGCCGATCACTTTATATTTTTTTCATAGAAATTATCGTCCTGCAGGATAATCTTTAGATTATAATTTTTATTATTTTTAAAGCATGTAACTGCTTGATGTTTAAATCTTAAGAAAATATAACTAGAAAAAATTCCACGCGGACCAGGCAGCAGACGGGACTCGAACCCGCACCCTTCGCAATCCGGGCGAATGCACTGACCAATTATGCTACCGCGGCCCTCACGGACCGCGTCGAAATTCTTTCTAGCTATTCTTAAGCTGCAAGGCAGCGCCATCTCTTCGCATTATAGGTAAACCCACAATGTCAAATGAATACTTTTACAAGTATTAAACATTTGAAAGAAGAAATAGCAATTATAGTTATAATTTTTATTATTTTTAAAGCATGTAACTGCTTGATGTTTAAATCTTAAGAAGGCAATCTTTAGATTGCCTGACGGCGTTCAAGGTGCAATATAAGCTTTTTTTTTATATATTTGGCAATATAAGCAATGCAAGCGCATAGGTGCGTGTACAATTATGTAATTTGACAGTTACACGCGATAAAAATGTGATATAATATTTGTTTCTTAGGTTTTCACGCACATCACTCATTAAATAAAACTAGTTTTTCACGGGTTATTGACTTTAATATGAGTAGAGTGCGGATCGACAAACGAAAAAACAGTAGGTAGGAATTTTAAAATGCCAATGGCAACATTGGCAACGATACCTTTGTTTCGGGGATTTCCCATAACATCTCTAGTTGAATTTGTAGTTCATTTCATTGTGAACCTTAAAACGCGGAGCATAATATTTGTTTCTTAGGTTTTCACGCACATCACTCATTAAATAAAACTAGTTTTTACGGGTTAATGCACGAAATTTTATTTATTTATTGACGTTTCGTAGCCTTTACAGGCTACGTCGTCAGAATAAAACTTTTATTCAATTTGTCGAGCTACCTTCCAAAGACTTTTATTGAGCGTTTGGTTATTTCATTGTTCGATTTTTAAGTTTTATTGTCTATGTATGAATTTATTATTTAATTTACTTAATAAAGTATTTTATTTCAAATTCTTTTTTGTAATTTTGAATTTATTTATTTGACCCTAACTACCCTAAACTACCACCGGTTCCAAAATTGGGAGACCTTTCTGAGAAGAACCGGCGAAACAAACTCAAGAGAGGCTTTCTATCTCCTTCTTATGTTAAATTATGCAAACAATAAGAACTAATAGTATCTGATGGTCTTGCAGTGTGTGCTCGGGGTTGGGATTTTATCTCCTGTATAATAGGTTTGGGAACCTAGCTTGGGAGCTGGTGGTATATACCAACCATCTTCCCTACTGAAATTTGGATATTTTTTAATCTCAATAGTCTCGCGCATCATTCGAGGAACGAACCGCCGCTCAGCTGCCAGGATCTGTGGTCTATCAAATCTAATGTAGTGGTTTGGTCCCCCTAATGCATGTTCACACTTGATTAAATTGAATAAAAATTTTATTCTGACGACGTAGCCTGTAAAGGCTATGAAACGTCAATAAATAAATAAAATTTCGTGCATTAACCCGTAAAAACTAGTTTTATTCGCGGAGCATAATGTTTATATTACCTATATCTTTATTTGTCAGTTGTTTATGTAATTAGTCGGACTAGAAAAACTGTCGGAGACACAGATTTGTTTTGTTTCTGATTTCGTGTGGTGTGTGTGAATGGTTACCATATTACCATGAAACGTAAATATGAAATTCAAATGGTAACTTAAAATACGTAAATATTTCCAATTTTGTAAAATGTTTGTTGTGTTTGCCAATGTCGAATGCTGCTTGTGAAAGAATATTCTCGCAAATCAACCTTATAAAAACAAAAACCCGGAACAGACTTATCAATAAACATGACGCCTCTATTTTGCATGTAAAACAAGGCATTAAAGAATATGGTGACTGCGTTTCATTCCAGCCAACAAATTATAATATGATTAAAAATATAAAGAAATTGATCAAAAAGAATACGAGGCTAATACGAATGTATAACTATTTAAAATAAAAATATAAAAAAATCATGTGACTATTTATTTTAAATTTTAAAATTGTATTGGCATTATTTCGGCATTTTGTGCATAAAAGTTTGGCAGGATTTGTCAGTTTTTTTTCCTAAGCGGGGCAGGATCTATAATTTAAGGTTGGTCACACTGCTATAGTCCTTTGTTGTCGTCTAACACAAGAAAATCGGGACGGCGCAAAACGGGTAATTCGTCAACTCATCCCAAATGCCTACGGCCCATCAAAATAAATTATATTGGATAATTCGTCAACTTGTCCCAAATGCCTATGGCCCATAATATAATGGGTAATTCGTCAACTTGTCCCAAATGCCTATAACCTATAATATAATGGGCAATTCGTCAACTCATCCCAAATGCCTATGGCCCATAATATAATTTATTTTGATGGGCCGTAGGCATTTGGGAGGAGTTGAGGAATTACCTCGCAAAAAAATTGCAAGGAAAATTGTTTCAATATAGCTAAAGCAACGTCTAGCTGACGCTAATGGGATCTGGGGCTCTGGGCCTACATATTGTTGACTTAGAACAAATTGAAATTTTCTATTTTTAGTTAGTAGTAGTTTTTAGTAAGCGGTAGCTTTTTATTTCTTTATGATGTTTTTTTTTTGTTTTTGATTACAGGGTGATTTCTAGGTTTCTGAAGTTCAGGAAGGAGGTGACAGTACTTACAAAACTAAAAACGTTTACTATCTGGAAAAATCAAGTTTCCCAAACGTGCTGGATTACCTAGGTATTAACTTTTACATTGTTTTTGTGGGTACGATCTCCTCATTCCAAAACTGTAACCACTAGAAAATCGTCCTGTATTTTATGGTTGATATTGTGTTAAGTTCTGTAACATAGATCTGTCATGGACATTCACTTTATACTGTTGTCTTTTTGAAAGTTTAACAAATAAAAGAAATTGAGATTATTTTAAACGCTTTTATTTATAATAATTGACTACCTACTATTCTGAAAGTCACTTTTATGGTGTCAAAGTATGCAACAAAGGAATAAAATAAATTTCGTTATTGTATGTGTTACTCACTAATTTCTTTGACTTTAGAAAAATTAACATTAATGTTGCGATTACTCTTCTTCAGAGCACTTGTTTTGAACATATTAAAATAAGTTGTTTTATAGGTTTATCGCATGTTTTAAAGGTATCTTCTATGTTATGCCCCAATATATTTTCAGTTATTTCTATCACTTCTACTATTGCTCCTTCGAAAGTCATAAAGTATTTATCACTACTTTTATGTGAAATTCTGAATTTTCTCTAGAGGTATTCCATAGGGGATGGCATCTCCCCGCGGGGGGAATCTCCTCTCCGTCTGTAGCCTCTAGACCATTCGAACCTGAGGGTCGACTCAACTAGTGGGCGTCTCGCCTGTCTGTGGACTGTGGCGGCGCG